TCGAGATTGTAACTAACCCTCCTAAATCAACGGCCTGTTCGCGCTCGGCCGCGCTAAAACACGAGAGTGGTGTCTCGTTTGATTTTGCCGCGCGGCAGCTCGCTAAATCAGCCACATTTGTCCGAGCTCGTCCTTTTTTCCCCGCGCCAACTTCCGGAGACCGTCGGTCAGACCCGCGATATACACGACCCGCGATTACGCCGGAATGGGGGATGGCGACGTCGACGATGTTAACGTTTCCACGTCTCCGAATTTATCGCGGATGACGTTCCTCCGGCGAAACATTTGCCGTCTTTCACGGACGCGATAATGCGATACGGATTCGCACGGGTAATTTGCACGGTTGTGCTTGATCACTTCTGTCAGTTTTCCCCTCCGACAACAGCACGCAGCACAGAACTGCGACGGAAATGTTGATACGAGGAGGGGAACACGCGAGAGCGGGAGGAAGCCTTCGGACTTCTTCGGGCGTCTTCTTATTTTCGAGTCTCTCTCGCACTACGCCGACGTGGACGACACAGCGACGGGAGCTCGAAAGAGATGTGGAAGATACGCGCCAGTCTGGCATGTACAGGAAATTGTACGGTATATGTAAAGGAAATAGTGCGATAGGACACGAAAGAAAAAGAGTGGCCGTGCGAGAGAATGAGAACAAGCCGGGGCGAGGGAGACCGGCGGCGGGGGGAAGGTGGCTTGGAAATACGGAGGGAAAGCAGAAAGCGGTATGGTAAATGGCAGGGAAAAAAATTAAGGAAAAAAGAGGGGGAAATGAAGCAGCAGCGCGACGCGAAGCGAATGAGAGAATAAAAAGCAAGAAGGGTTCGATGAAACCCTCGGCGAATAAAAGAGAAGGGAAGAGAGAGAGGGGGGGAGGGGTGAGCTGGATTAGCTGGAAGTATCTGGTGTAAGAAAAGAGCGAAGACCGGGCTGCAGCGGGTGGGAAGGGACAGGAGGGAGAGGACTCGACCGAGGAGGGGTGGTAGGCCATTCACTCGCGCGCACAGATTAAGCATCTTAATCACCCACGAGCAAAACTGCAAATTGCGCACTCGAGCGAAATGAAAACGGCGCCGGGGAATGTTGCGCGCGCGCGTGTAAGGCCGGCGCCGCGCGACAAAAAAGACCGACGGACGCGAGCGAGAAAAGGGCGCGAACACGCGGAGGGTTGCACGGTCAGAGGGAAAAGGTCGACTCGAAAAAGTCAAGAGCAAAGGACACGGGGAAGAGGGGACACGCTCGGGGTGAAGACGCTTCGAGCGATACGGCGCGAATTGCGCGCGTGTACGGATAAATCTCGCAAGGTATCTACCGCCTGGAAAAACCTGGGAATCCTGGAATTCTCAAGGAATTCGTGTATGCACGGAAAGATTAGGGAAATTTCCGGGAATTCTACTGAAAGTCGGGAGATTTCGAATGGACATTTTTTTATCTGTAAGTCCATCGCGTTGTTTATAAGTAAATACTGTGTGGTTGGCTGAATTTTATTTAATAATACTTTCTCTATTAAGAATCATGGAGGAATAGTAGTTCAGGATTTTCTTGGCTTGATTTTTAACTAATTTTAACTTCAATTTTAATTCATGACGAATAGCGCTATGTAAATTGTAGGAGCGAACTTATTAACGTTCTATATATATGTATATTTTAAGCTTGTTTAATATTTTAATATTTGCAATTGTTTTATATTTATAACAGATTCTCTTTTGTTCTCGATATCTGTATGTATAATTTAAACGTTTAATCATTTTGCTCTGATGTTTAAAACACACTAATTTTATGACTAATCCGATATTAAGTATTGAAGATGAAGATTAAATATTGACAATGATTTCGTGTTAGATGCAACTTTGCTTAATTAAGATATATATTTCCTTTAATAATTTTATAAAGTTGCATTTGTACCGGTTGCACATAACATAATTTCTTGTGTATAACTTTTGAAAATAAAATTTAAAGATTTTATGCAATATAAAATATTAATTTTTTCAGAGTCCTTGCAGTTTCTCTTAAAAATTTTTCAAATTTAATCATTGAAATTCTTAATTTTATTTCATGATCTATAAACTTTTATGAATGGAAAATATTAAGGACACTTTGCACGATAAATATATATTTATTTGCAAGATATATTTAAAAATACTTTCATTTTACCTGGAATTTTTAACAAATTGCCTGGAAAATCATGGAATTATCAGGGAACTTTTTTCGAGCTTGACTAGACATTCTCCCTCGTCTTTTCGTCGTTTTTCTCACGTTCGTTCACCTTCTCTTTCTCTTCTCCCTTTTTATCCTCGCGTTTTTATCGGCGCGACACCGTGCACGATCGTTATACATCGCATCGTTTTAATCTCGGCCGCACGGCCAGTGTTTCGCGGCGCAGCGGGTGTTCTACGCGATTAAAAACGAACTTGTTTTCGAACTATGCGATTACATTAGTAATAAAATTCCCCCCCGTGGCGACTTTGTATACGTGTATATGTGTATGTGTGTGTACGTGTACGTGTACGGGCTTGTATTTTACATCTCTACGGAAAGTTTCGCGGAAAGTTGACATTCGGCATCTTGCCGTGCGAAAGCACGCTGAGTGCTTGGTGAAACGTAAAGACCGGCAGAAACTATAATTTCATCCTTCCCGCAGCCGTTTAACGTTTTTTCCTCCCTTTTTCAGATTGTGCCTTATCCTCGAACGGGGCCACTCGTAAATTCACGCGCCGAAAAGGATAATTAAGCAAGCCAGCGCGCGCGCGCGCTCGCGAATATACCTTTCCGACTGGTCCGGCTTAATCTGCTTTCTCGCATAATTTTTTTCGCATGCGCCGCCTTCATTACAGCAGGCCACAATCTCTCTCTCTCTCCTGGCATCTTGCCCGATGATATACGACTCGGCGCGCCGTTGTCGTACCGACGAAAAATCCTATTTACAGAGATCCCGCTTCTCGTGAGAAAGAAAAAAAAAAACGTAACCGTTCGCCGATGCGGAAAATTTATTTCCATAATGCAAGTTTCAACGTCAAAACGGCGAATCGTTCCGCCGTTCAGCCCTAGACGTATTAAAAATAACAGCGTCACGACAGTGTGAAGCGTCGTCACGCGTTTGTGTCTTATCACTTGTGACAGCGGCGGATAAAATCGATCGGAACGTCGTCGTCGTATGCGGTGATACGATGTAATTAATTAATAATAATGTTAACGATCGCGGTTACCGATAATGAAAAACTGGCAAAGAGATGGAGAGCGAAATATGGGAGTGGAGAGAAAGAGAGAAGGGGAGAGAGAGGAGCTTACGACGTTTCTAATCGCCTAAATTCCACGCTCGTCGCTCGCGAAAACGCGCGCCGCTCGTCAACTTCCGACTCGTTCCTCTCGGCACAAAGCGCCCGGTCGCGAAAGTACTCGCCGCGAGATCGCGTATCGTCGCGCGCGCTATACCTTTTTGTACCCTCGCCGAGATTAAAGTCCTCTGCGCTTTGTCCACAGAAGTGTCTAACACTACCTCGCTTTCCGACCCCTCCTCCGAGCCCCTCCGCCGCCGCAGCCTCGTTTCCTGCGCGGCGTTCCGCCGAGCGGAAGATAGACGCCGACGAATAAGCCGAGGAATAATTTTCTTCAGCGCGTATCTGGCCGAGCTGAGGCCAAATTAGTCCCGGGGATGAAATGTGAGGGCACACGGGGCGGCGGAGAAGAAAGAAAAGGGGGTATGGGGGAAGAGAGGAAGACTGGCGCCACCCCTAACGAGACTCTAATCTTCTTCCCTCCGTTGAAGCTTAGGGCAGCTCGCTCAAACTTTCGCCTCGTGCACCGGGTAATTAAAATGTTAATCGAGGAATTAGGCAGTTAAGGAGAAGGCTCGCATCCCGGTGTATACTTTGGTTTCGCCCCGCGCCAAAGTCTGTCTTGATTAACGGAGAGCTCGCGGGCCGAACTTTGATCGGTTACGTTTAACACGAACGGCTGGAACGGCGACGAGTCCGCTCCGAAAGCAACAAATTTTTATTTAGCGCGAGATGACGATCCTTCTCCGCGTTACTCGCGGAAGTTCGGTGAAATGTGTGCGGTCGGCTTCACATGTGCTGTACTATTCCCTGTACAAACTTGTGTATACTCAAGATTACACAGTAAAAAATTTTACGTTAAAAATAGTCCACTAAAATTGTGTTGCTTTAATAAGGTGCAAGTGTTAAAAAGTAATATATATTAATTTAATATATATTTATGTATTTTTTAACATTTTCCTCATATTAAAGTAATGAAAAAATTTCAGTGGACCGTTTTTAACATAAAATTTTTCACTATGTAAGGTCTAGTTAAATCTTTGTTAAGTAAATAACTTTAATTAAAATTTATTAAAAATTTTCATATTTACTTAACAAAGATTTGACTAGACCTTAATTTTTAATACACATGAGCTTATCATTCCTCGTTCTCATTATAATATCTGTGCACTATAATATCTGTGCTTGATTCTTTATGTGTTAATACTTAATACTTATTTAATTCATAGTTTCATTGAGCCTCTTTTATAATTTTTTTACTTGTAATAATGATATCACGTGTGTCGTGTATTTTTTTCCGAAGACTGCGTTATAATTTGAAAGTTCGATGAAGAGTTGCAAGTTTACGCAAAGCAACGTCCGAAATAATACGCGCACAGTTGCATGAAATACAGATTTTATCGAAACTCATGTATCACGCGCTGCAAACGTAATTTCTCGGTCATCCACTGGAGTGGTTTCTCGTTTGGGAGATTCCTATTTCGGAAATTAGTTGGAAAATTAGTTTCGGCCACCAGTTTACCGCGAACTTTTGAAATTGGTAGGTTGGCACGATCCGGGGGAAACACAGTTTTCCGTCGTCGGCGAGTCACCTTGCGCATTGTCGAGTTCTAATGTTATTACAGTTCATTCCGGTGGCATTTCAACATCGGTCAACGACGAAACGCCGGCAAGAAATACCTTCCTGTAACAGCCCTCTAAAAGGTTATCCTTCATTTTTTGTTGCAGGTTGGACGACGAGAAGCTGGATCTTATTAACGTAAGTAATTTCGATAAAACTTACCTTCTGCAAGCTTAATTAAATGTCTTGCTCGACAATATAGAGCAGAATTTATACCTATTTCTAGCGTATCTCACGACGAGTCTTATAAATTTATGAAACGCGCGATTACAGAAGTTGCGGCAAAAAATAACTCAACGCAGAAAGATAGCATAGATGAAAATTGGAGTGATATTATTAATAATTTCACATAAATTTCTTTTTCAAATTTTAATAAAATATTTTTTTTTTAATTCTTAATAAAAAAATTTTTAGGAGAAGAGAAGGAATTTTTAGGAATATGAAGGAAAAGAAAGAGAAGAGAAAAAGTTAATAAACATTCTAAAGAGAAAAAATATCAACAGGTTATAATAGAAACTCTCTCCATCTCTCTCTTTCTCTCATTATATAGACGTTATGATATATCTCTTTTTATTTTTTCTATTGTATTTCAACTTTCTCATACATATTAGGGGTACCCATAAGTAACGTCTTTTTTCAAGTTGAATAAATATCCACCACGAAGTTTTGAACCCCAATGAAACCATAACAGCTGAATATTATTGTATATAGCTTGATGGACCGTCAACATCGCTTTGCTTCAAAAACATTCAAGGCTGATTAATCGAAAGGATGTCGTTCTCAGTATCAAAAAGCAACATTACTTACGGGTGCCCCTGATATATATATTTTTTCTTCTTGTAATTTGTTAAACGCTCTTAGAATGCAGGATACTACAGCGAAGATAAATTATCTATCTTTTATCTATCTATCTTCATTATAACTAGTCATTGCATTATACTTCGAGGCGCGATGTAAATAAATTGAAACGAGAGCAAAATGCGCGCGCGTAATACGAGTCCGGACAGTTTCAAAGTAATCACTTTACCGCCTAGTCCTCTTTGCGTGGGATCGATTAAAAGCCTCGTAATATTAGCTCTCTGTAATCGCGTAAGCCTCCGTACGATTTCGCCGACGTTGATCGACATCGATATAGGGGACTCGGATGGAAATGGACCGTGGTGGAACTACGCATTCCACGCCGTATCAAACGTTGCCGGCGTCATGGCGGCCTAATGCACCGCGTCGTGGGCATAACTGTATGCGCCAAATAACCGGAAATTACCGGGCGCATTTCAATCAGACCGGCTCGGCAACGTCCGTCGCATGGACCATCGTTTGTTCCGCATAAATAGACGCCTAGCCTGTATGATAATCTCTCAAATCGAGCCGGGAAATCTCGGGGAATTGCCGGGCTCCTCTCTGGAGGGCCGCTTTTCCGGCGCGAGCGGCCATGGTGAGTGATTCTCCGAATTCCATGGGAAGGATGGAAATGCTCGTTCGTCGTTCGAATGGAGATTAGGATTCTTATCGTATCGATATATTACCGAATATGCCGGGAAAGCTTGATCAACGGGGGCGGTTTCGTGAATTCTGCTCATTGACTTTTCCCTACGCGCGATCCTGATCGGGTTGTTTTAGTAACGGACGTTATTAAAGATTGAATGCAGTTAGAGCGAAAAGCGCGGAAGAGCGTATTGCTGCGAGCGTAAACAGATTCGACATTTTTTTAACCTTCAGCCAACTTGGAGAGATATTTTAATCATCACCAACGTGACCCGAGCCGAAATGTCGTGTTCTAAATTAAAGAGACGCCATGCTTGAAAATTTTACCGACGAGAATACTGATATCTTTCTGCCAAGTTTACGTCCTATTGGTCTTGCAGAAATGAAATGATCGCTGTCAAGGGCAAATTCGTGGGAATCCTTCCGATGCTTCGAAGAGAGCGACTCGACCATAGATTCTCGCATTTCGCGACAGCGATATATATACGTGTAAACGTTTAATGTATCCGCGCTCGGACCGCAGAATTACGTCTCCCAACTGCGCGACAGCCGGCATAATGACGGCATTTCGAAATTCGTCTTTTTCGGCGATGCAAAATGGCATGCAAATTGCAATGGAATGGGAGCAGGAATTTACAATGCAAACAATGCGATAGTGATTAAAGCGGCATGCGGAACGATTAATGTCTACGCTGCGGAGCGTAGACATTTGCGAAAGACAAAATATTATACGCGGTGGCCATAATTGGAACGTCAGGAATGACTTTCCGCCGTTTATTCTACGGTCGCGTCGCGCGGGCTCGTGTCTACCACGAAATTGCGCACTTAAGCAAGATGGAACGCAATGCCGTCGGGTTACCCCCCGCAGATTTATCTCGATTGTGCATTGCCGTATTTACCGGGCGCGTTCCAATTGCGGTAGTTACGATACTTCACGGGTATAACGCGGCGAAACTATCGTCTTTGACTTGGACCACCTACGGCCGCCCTTACGCGTTATACGCGCTGCCGTTGTGCAATTGAGTCTCTCGCTTCGGGGCGCAGCTCATTAAATCTCCCCCACGGTCGAATCTACAGCGAAGCTGCAGCGCAGCACGTCGCGATGGAATAGTGCAGTCCCTTTGCGATACACGCGCACCCACACGGAGAAAAAGCATTCGGAGGGACATTTTCCGCGAGTAAGTAAATATAGAGGATGTTTCTGTAAGGAGGTTGTAAGGGCGAAATGAGTCTGATAAGAATTCGATGTAATTCGTAATACTTATATACTGAAATATTATCTAATTACTCCTGCAATTAGGACGAGACTGGCCGTTCGAGAGCTGAGATATTAACTGTGGCAAGATTCAGTATATAAGATCGCTCTTCGTGCAAAGAGTTTGATTGCGAAAACTTTGACGAGGCAGCGTGTTCTTTTTTTTATCGGGATTGTAACTAGTCAACTGAAAGTTGATGCTTTTTAACCCTCTTGTGTCCCTTGAGAGATTAGCGTGCTATTTTTAATTTCTATTTTTAATATATTCTAAACTACAAGTAAGATTTGGATGGGAAACTACTGGATGTTAAAAATTGATCTATGCAGACACTATGCACAGATTTCAGAATTATTAATCGTTCTATTTTGAAACCGTCCAACATTTTAGAAGATGATTTTATAAAGAACAGTTCACACGTGTTCATTTCTTCATGAAGTGACTTGGAATGTCAAGTTCTAAAATATTGGATAGTACTTAAGAAACACTTTCTATATTCATTTATTCCCTACGATAGCACAAAACTCGCGATATACCTCCATTCATTATTTTCCCCCGTGCGTACGAACGAACCCCCACTTTCGGCACCTTTCCAGACCGAGCAAATATACAACGCGCACGTTTCTCCTTTGATCTCGATTAATCCGACAATAAGCGCGCGAATTATTAGAAAAAGGTAGAGGGAGGATGGGAAAACACACGGACGTGAATTTTCCATCGTCTCGGAGGGAGGGAGGCTCCCAGAGGGGTTTCGGCTGTTTTCTATCGGCGCTTCTCGAACGATGTAACCAGCGAGGAAATCAATTGAGAGACTACATATTTTGCAATCTTCCTGGTGCATCACGAGATACCACGAAGTCTTTATTCGTCGTGGCCGGTGCTTCCTCTTCCGCCGTGATATCAGTATCGGGCAGCCGGGGCAATCTCAAGAGAGTGCCTTTACTCCACAATCTTCCGCTTGCGTTTTATTGCCGCGGTGGCTCTTCTCCCGCTTGTCGAACTGCTCTCTTGATTTTTCTCAGCCACTTGTTTTCATCGCACTCTCTTCCTACACCGCCTCCCGAGGGTGCTCCTCGCTCCGCCGGAGCCTTACTACCTGATCAACGGACATACGTTCCGTAACATCGCATTAACCGAGTCCGCCTTCATCAACGGCACGAACGGAGGGAACGAACGATACATCGATGATCGTCGACGGGAACAGTTAGAGGAGGACGCTCGCGAGAGAGACACGTGTGCGACGATTTCGTCCCGTGGTTTTATTTAAATAACTAATGCGCTCCCGACATTGCTATTATTAAAAATGCATGAAATGCATTTCTCCGTCGGGATGCCACGCGGCACAAATCCTCCCCATTTGCATATCATTTTGTGACGCGCGTGCGACGGTAATCTCTCGAGGGAGTGTCCACTTCGCAATCTTCCGTGTGTGTCACATCGCCGCTGAACGACAGTCTTGATTGTTCTCGTGGGAGAAAAAAGAGAGAGAGAGAGAGAGAGAAAAAACGCCCGCTCTTTTTCTCTCCGCTCCGCTTTTTCTCTCGGACTCGTATTCTTCGCGGATGAATCTCGATCTGTGTAATAATTATCACCGCTGTTTCTGCCGCGCGGCACGAGGCTTTCGATAAACATCGCCGAGGAGAGCGAGGAGTCCTTTTAACGAAGCCCCGCCGGTAAAACTACCATTCTTCGCTTCGTATGTTTTATGATTAAACATGAAACACTTCCTTCTCTCCCGCGGATCGCAGAATAATGAGAATACGAACGAATACGCCGCGGCGCAGGCTTCCTATCGTCAAAGTCGTGAATTATTTTATACACGGTAGAAAATGTTGTGTTAAATTTCACGTATCTCACACATATTCCAAACGGTCCACGCAAATTTGTCTCTTAATTCAACACGAGGTAAACACGTCGAAAGGTAACACAAATATATTATGTCAAAAATCAATACAAAATTAATATGTTAATCGACACTGAAGTATAAAATGTGTTATTTTGACACTCACACATATCGAATATCGACTCGATGCAAAATATATACGCTGAGATAGCACAAATTTAATATACACACAATATGTTAAATTAACACACGGGTACGTTAAAAATTCGACTATTTTAACAAGGATTTTTACACAAGTGCAAAATGTTTTTTACTGTCTACCAAATTGCAAGTGTGTATCGCGTGTTGTCAGAAGCTGAAGGAACGAGAAAAAGAGAAGCAACCGCTCGGATAATTTATACCTTAAACGCTACGCGATCGCGACGAGCTCCGAAAGCTCGAGCGAAACTTCCGTGTCGCGTACTTAACGAGAACTACATCTCCGAAACTGTAACAGTCGCGACGACGCTCTTATAATTCAACCGTGGATTCCGTTTTATAAATTATCGCGCGATTTC